AAGGATCTGGGAGGACTTGAGGGGGTGGAGGGACCTCCTGGAGGGATCTGGGGGGACTTGAGGGGGTGGAAGGACCTCCTGGAGGGATCTGGGGGCACCTGAGGGACCTCCTGGACCCCAACCACCCCCTCCAACCTCTCCTGGAGGCCACATCCAACCTCCAACCCCCTTTTTTTCTTCTCCCCACCCTCCCAGCCAAGGTGACCTTGGATCCCACCACCGCCCACCCCAACCTCCACCTCTCCCAGGACCTCCAAGAAGCCCGAGGCCAATTGACCCCCCAGGTTTTGGGGGACAACCCGACCCGTTTCGACTACGAACCTTGTGTCCTGGGTCTCCAGGGCTTCTCCAAGGGGAGACACTTCTGGGAGGTGGACGTTGGCCAAGGAGGAGGGGTCTGGTCCTTGGGGGTGGCCCGGGGGTCCATCAAGAGGAAAGGACCCCTCAGCTTCACCCCAAAAGAAGGGGTCTGGGCTTTGGGGTCCTACCACAACCTCAGCCCACCCAAAGCCAACCAAGGTCTCCAACCCCTTCCCAGGAGGATCCAGGTCTTCTTGGACTACGAGGGGGGTCGTGTGTCCTTCTACAGCCCTGGGGGAGATGATCCCATCTTGGTTTTCCCCCAGGCCACGTTCCACGGGGAGAAGATCTTCCCCTGGTTCAAGGTGGGGTTGGGGCCTCGTCTGCGAGAGGTCACGCAGGGGTCAAGGTCAAGGGAAGGGCAGGGGGTGTCCCCTCTGGATTGGGTGGGGTTCAGGGGGCCCCTGAGGATCTGCCCTTGAGGGGAGAGACCCTTGGGGGGGGGGACGGGACAGGGAGGAGGGACCTGATCCATCTGCAGCTGGAGCTTTGTGGTGGAACCTCCATGGTGGGAAGATGAGAAGATGGAGACACCAGGGTCTGTTCCATGTCCCTTTCCAACTGGATCTTCATGGTGGAACCTCCATGGTGGGAAGATGAGAAGATGGAGACACCAGGGTCTGTTCCATGTCCCTTTCCAACTGGATCTTCATGGTGGAACCTCCATGGTGGGAAGATGAGAAGATGGAGACACCAGGGTCTGTTCCATGTCCCTTTCCAACTGGATCTTCATGGTGGAACCTCCATGGTGGGAAGATGAGAAGATGGAGACACCAGGGTCTGTTCCATGTCCCTTTCCAACTGGATCTTCATGGTGGAACCTCCATGGTGGGAAGATGAGAAGATGGAGACACCAGGGTCTGTTCCATGTCCCTTTCCAACTGGATCTTCATGGTGGAACCTCCATGGTGGGAAGATGAGAAGATGGAGACACCAGGGTCTGTTCCATGTCCCTTTCCAACTGGATCTTCATGGTGGAACCTCCATGGTGGGAAGATGAGAAGATGGAGACACCAGGGTCTGTTCCATGTCCCTTTCCAACTGGATCTTCATGGTGGAACCTCCATGGTGGGAAGATGAGAAGATGGAGACACCAGGGTCTGTTCCATGTCCCTTTCCAACTGGATCTTCATGGTGGAACCTCCATGGTGGGAAGATGAGAAGATGGAGACACCAGGGTCTGTTCCATGTCCCTTTCCAACTGGATCTTCATGGTGGAACCTCCATGGTGGGAAGATGAGAAGATGGAGACACCAGGGTCTGTTCCATGTCCCTTTCCAACTGGATCTTCATGGTGGAACCTCCATGGTGGGAAGATGAGAAGATGGAGACACCAGGGTCTGTTCCATGTCCCTTTCCAACTGGATCTTCATGGTGGAACCTCCATGGTGGGAAGATGAGAAGATGGAGACACCAGGGTCTGTTCCATGTCCCTTTCCAACTGGATCTTCATGGTGGAACCTCCATGGTGATGGAGATGAGGAGATGGGGACACCAGAGCTGGTCCCACCTCCATCTGGTGGCACCTCCAGGATGGGGAGATGGGGAGATGGGGACACCAGGGCCACCATGATGAGGAGATGGGGACACCAGGGTCTGTCCCATCTCCATTTCCACCTGGATCTTCATGGTGGCACCTCCATGATGAGGATGAGGAGATGGGGACACCAGGGAAGAAGAAGAAGAAGAACCAACCAGGAGAAGGAGAAGAACCATCAAGGGGTTGATGCCCAAGGCTGGGAGACACCTCAGAACTTCCAAGAACTGGGACTTTTGGACCAAACCCTCCTCATTGTCTCTCCCCACCCCCCAATTTCTGACCCTGCTTTGGAATAATAATAAAGACCCTCCTGGTTTTTAGGTTGAATTTCTCAACTTTTGGGTCAGGAGAAGCCACCCCAGAAGCTCCTGGAGATGCTGGGGAGATGGTTCCTCCACCACCAGGGCTGGTGACAAGTTGAGAGATGAAACTTGATGTTTTGAGGAGGGTTTTGCTCTTTCGAGGTGAATTTTTGACTCAGTTTCTTCAAAAAAACCCCAGAAGAGGCAGAAGTTTCCTCAAAATAAACCCAACTGAGTCATCTGGGGAAGCAGAAAGAGGAACCAGGAGCTCCAGGGGAGGTGAGAGATGAGTGGACACCTGGGGTTGAGGCTCCATCTCCCACCCAGACCCACGTCTTGTGACCTTCTGGGAGGGGGTTTTGAGGTGTTTTCTCCCCCCAAACACCCACAGCTGGTGCTTTGGTCCCACCACTTGAAGGTTGGGGTCACCTCTTGGGTCCAGGGCAGGTGGAAGAAGAGCCCAAAAATGGTCCAAAGAACCAAATCTGGGAGGTTCAAGGGTTTGGGGGCTCCAGGGAAGGTGAAAGAAGATCCAGGAAGGTCCAAAGAACCAAATCTGGGAGGTTCAAGGGTTTGGGGGCTCCAGGGAAGGTGAAAGAAGATCCAGGAAGGTCCAAAGAACCAAATCTGGGAGGTTCAAGGGTTTGGGGGCTCCAGGGAAGGTGAAAGAAGATCCAGGAAGGTCCAAAGAACCAAATCTGGGAGGTTCAAGGGTTTGGGGGCTCCAGGGAAGGTGAAAGAAGATCCAGGAAGGTCCAAAGAACCAAATCTGGGAGGTTCAAGGGTTTGGGGGCTCCAGGGAAGGTGAAAGAAGATCCAGGAAGGTCCAAAGAACCAAATCTGGGAGGTTCAAGGGTTTGGGGGCTCCAGGGAAGGTGAAAGAAGATCCAGGAAGGTCCAAAGAACCAAATCTGGGAGGTTCAAGGGTTTGGGGGCTCCAGGGAAGGTGAAAGAAGATCCAGGAAGGTCCAAAGAACCAAATCTGGGAGGTTCAAGGGTTTGGGGGCTCCAGGGAAGGTGAAAGAAGATCCAGGAAGGTCCAAAGAACCAAATCTGGGAGGTTCAAGGGTTTGGGGGCTCCAGGGAAGGTGAAAGAAGATCCAGGAAGGTCCAAAGAACCAAATCTGGGAGGTTCAAGGGTTTGGGGGCTCCAGGGAAGGTGAAAGAAGATCCAGGAAGGTCCAAAGAACCAAATCTGGGAGGTTCAAGGGTTTGGGGGCTCCAGGGAAGGTGAAAGAAGATCCAGGAAGGTCCAAAGAACCAAATCTGGGAGGTTCAAGGGTTTGGGGGCTCCAGGGAAGGTGAAAGAAGATCCAGGAAGGTCCAAAGAACCAAATCTGGGAGGTTCAAGGGTTTGGGGGCTCCAGGGAAGGTGAAAGAAGATCCAGGAAGGTCCAAAGAACCAAATCTGGGAGGTTCAAGGGTTTGGGGGCTCCAGGGAAGGTGAAAGAAGATCCAGGAAGGTCCAAAGAACCAAATCTGGGAGGTTCAAGGGTTTGGGGGCTCCAGGGAAGGTGAAAGAAGATCCAGGAAGGTCCAAAGAACCAAATCTGGGAGGTTCAAGGGTTTGGGGGCTCCAGGGAAGGTGAAAGAAGATCCAGGAAGGTCCAAAGAACCAAATCTGGGAGGTTCAAGGGTTTGGGGGCTCCAGGGAAGGTGAAAGAAGATCCAGGAAGGTCCAAAGAACCAAATCTGGGAGGTTCAAGGGTTTGGGGGCTCCAGGGAAGGTGAAAGAAGATCCAGGAAGGTCCAAAGAACCAAATCTGGGAGGTTCAAGGGTTTGGGGGCTCCAGGGAAGGTGAAAGAAGATCCAGGAAGGTCCAAAGAACCAAATCTGGGAGGTTCAAGGGGAAGAAAACCTCTTGAGATCTTCTCAAGGACAAGTTTGGGGGTTGTTGGACCCTCCTGTTCCCACCATGATCCTCTTTATTGGGGGGGGGGACTTGGTGGGGAGCAGGAGACACCAAACCCACCCCAAACAAAGGGGTGTTTGGGGGCAGAAATGGAGGTTCCTCCAACTCCTCCTGGCCCAGAACTTCCCTCAACATCCTCACCCAGCTCCTGGGATGTTCCTCCAGGCCAGACTCAAGAGCTCAGGTGGGTGGAGGTTGGAGCTGGATCATCTCCAAGCTCCTTCCCAACCCCCCCCTCCAGGTGGGGTTGGGTCTTCCCTCTGGAAACCTCCACCCCCAGGGGTGTCTCCACCCCCCAAACTGGTTCTTCTAGGCTCCTTCAACCTGGGGCACCTTCATTTGGAGATGAAAGGAGCTGGTGCCTCCTCCTCCCATGGAAGGGCTGGTGGGACAAGTTCCCCCAAAAACCTGTCCCACCACCTCCTTGGGGGGGGATCATCCAACATTTTGGGGGGTCTGACCCCAGTTGGGGGGTGGTCGTGGAGGGGTTGGGTGGCTCTTGGGACAACCTGGATGGTCTCAGGGACCTTCAACTTGATCCTGATGGACTTGGGGCTCCTTGTTCAGCATCTCCCAACCTTTTTTTGGGGTCTTTTCACCCCTGGTTTCTTCTCCTTTTCTCCACCAAACCTTGACTTGAACATTTCATCTCCAGCCCCTTTTTTGGGGGGGGAAATGGGTGGTTTTGGTCAAAACTTCCAAGAGGGACAAAAAGCTCCAACCCAGGAGGAGCTGGAGGGTTGGGATGAAAACCTGAAGTTCCTGGTGGATCCAACCCAGGGTGTCACCACTTTCCTGGCCCAGGAGATGTGAAAGTTGCCCTGGGGGTGAAGCTGGAGCTTCTCCAAGGGGTGGGAAGGACCAGGGAGAAGAAGAAGAAGATCCAGCTCCTTCAAAGGGGGTTGATTAAAAAAAAAAACAAACAAGAAAATGAAGACAAAAAACAGGTTTTTTGGAGTTGGTTCCAGGAGAAATCCCAGCAGATCTGGAGGAGGAGGAGGAGGGAGAAGGTTCCTGAAGAAGAGGAAGGTCCCTGAAAAGGGAGAAGGTCCCTGAAAAGGGAGAAGGTCTCCAGGAAAGGTCTCCAAGGAAGGAGAAGGTCCCTGAGGAAGAGGAAGGTCCCTGAGGAAGAGGAAGGTCCCTGAAAAGGGAGAAGGTCCCTGAAAAGGGAGAAGGTCCCTGAAAAGGGAGAAGGTCTCCAGGAAAGGTCTCCAAGGAAGGAGAAGGTCCCTGAGGAAGAGGAAGGTCCCTGAGGAAGAGGAAGGTCCCTGAGGAAGAGGAAGGTCCCTGAAAAGGGAGAAGATCCTTGAGGAAGAGGAAGGTCCCTGGGGAAGAGGAAGGTCCTTGAGGAAGAGGAAGTGGATTTAAAAAATGGATTTAAAAAGGACCAAAAAGAATTAAAAACAGAGTAAAAAGGATGAAAAAAAGGATCAAAAAAGGATTAAAAGGATTAAAAAATGGATTAAAAAGGGGTAAAAAAAGGATTTAAAAGGATTTAAAAGAGTTTAAAAAAAAAAAAAAGATTAAAAGGATTTTAAAAGGGGTGAAAAAGGATCAAAAAAGGGTTTAAAAGGATCAAAACTGGATTAAAAGGATTTAAAAGGGAGCAAAAAGGAGAAAAAAAGGGAGAAAAAGGGAGCAAAAAAGGAGAAAAAAGGGAGCAAAAAGGGAGTAAAAAAGGAGAAAAAAAGGGAGTAAAAAGGGAGCAAAAAGGGAGTAAAAAGGGAGCAAAAAGGGAGCAAAAAAGGAGAAAAAAGGGAGCAAAAAGGGAGCAAAAAGGGAGTAAAAAGGGAGCAAAAAGGGAGTAAAAAAGGAGAAAAAAAGAGAGTAAAAAGGGAGCAAAAAGGGAGTAAAAAGGAGCAAAAAGGGATCAAAAAGGATCAAAAAGGATTTTTAAAAAGGATTGAAAAGGATAAAAATTATTTAAAGGGATAAAAAAAGGATCAAAAAGGGATTTTTTAAAAGGATAAAAAGTATGTTAAAGGATCAAAAAGGATAAAAAAGGGATTAAAAGGATTTAAAAAATATTTAAAAGGATAAAAAAGGGATCAAAAAGGGATTTTTAAAAAGGATGAAAAAGGATAAAAAATATTTTAAAGGATCAAAAAGGATCAAAAAAGGGATCAAAAGGATTTTTTAAAACGATTAAAAAGGATAAAAATATTTTAAAGGATCAAAAAGGGATTAAAAGGATTTTTTTAAAAGGTTAAAAAAGATAAAAAATGATCAAAAGGGATAAAAACGGGTCAAAAAGGGATCAAAAAGGATCAAAAAGGGATAAAAAATGGGTCAAAAAGGATCTAAAATGGGTCAAAAAGGGATAAAAAATGGGTCAAAACAGGGATCAAATCAGGGATCAAAACCAGATCCAAACCAGATCCAAACCAGATCAAAACCAAATTGAAACCAGATCAAAACCAGATAAAAAACAGATCCAAACCAGATCGAAACCAGATCAAAACCAGATTGAAACCAAATCCAAACCAGATCCAAACCAAATCAAAACCAGATCCAAACCAGATCAAAACCGGATCCAAACCAGATCCAAACCAGATCAACAAGGGCCCCAACTCCCCCTCCCCCAGAGGCTCCAACTCTTCCCCCTCCCCCAGCTGGAAGATCTGAAGCATGAGCTGGAGAAGAGGCAGGAGAAGGTCCCGGGGCCCCCCCAGGGGGGAGAAGAGCAGAAGAACCAGGAGCTGGTGGGTGAAATTGCCCGATTTGGGGGTTTTTTGGAGGGGAAAAAAACCCCAGGAGAGGATCCCACCCCTTCAAAGTCCTTATGGGGTGAACTGGTTGGGTTGTCCTGGGTCCTTCTGGAGACCTGGAGAAGGTGAGGGAAGGTGAGGCCTGTAAAAATGGGTCTGATGCCCCCCCAAAAAGGCCAAAAATCAGAAATTCAACCTTTTTTTCTGGCAGGGCGTGGGTGGGTTCTCACTAAACATCCCCCCCAAAGTCAGTGAGGAACCTCAAGAACATCTGGGAGGTCCCTGGGTTGGAGGCCACGAGGTGTGGGTGGGTCAGGGGGTCCCCTGGTCGTGCTGCTCCAAAACGTCACCCCTAAAAAAAGGGCCTAAATCAGCCCCAAAATGAGCTTCAATCGAGGCCACCAAGGGGATGATGGTTCTTCAAGGGGAGAGGGGGACTTTGGTGACCTGTGATGGTCCAAGAAGGTGGTGGAGAAGACCAGTGTCCTCCAGGTGGTCGTGGGAGGGTGAGAAGGTTGCAGGAAGTGACACTTTTTTGGGGGGGAAAACCAGAAAATGGATGTTCTCCTGGTGGCTCCAAGTCCCTCTAGATGTGGCCACCTATGGAAACCCAGGAGGTCCAACCCCAACTGAGCCAAAGGCCTCACCTTGAGCTTCATCTCCTCTTTCTTCTCCATCCCCAGGAGGTGAGAAGCTCCATCACCAGGTACGTGGCCTCCTTGGAAGGTTCTTCTCCTCTTTTCCTTCTCCTTCTTCTTCTCCTCCTTCTCTTCTCCTTCTCCTTCTCCTTCTCCTTCTCCTTCTCCTTCTCCTTCTCCTTCTCCTTCTCCTTCTCCTTCTCCTTCTCCTTCTCCTTCTCCTTCTCCTTCTCCTTCTCCTTCTCCTTCTCCTTCTCCTTCTCCTTCTCCTTCTCCTTCTCCTTCTCCTTCTCCTTCTCCTTCTCCTTCTCCTTCTCCTTCTCCTTCTCCTTCTCCTTCTCCTTCTCCTTCTCCTTCTCCTTCTCCTTCTCCTTCTCCTTCTCCTTCTCCTTCTCCTTCTCCTTCTCCTTCTCCTTCTCCTTCTCCTTCTCCTTCTCCTTCTCCTTCTCCTTCTCCTTCTCCTTCTCCTTCTCCTTCTCCTTCTCCTTCTCCTTCTCCTTCTCCTTCTCCTTCTCCTTCTCCTTCTCCTTCTCCTTCTCCTTCTCCTTCTCCTTCTCCTTCTCCTTCTCCTTCTCCTTCTCCTTCTCCTTCTCCTTCTCCTTCTCCTTCTCCTTCTCCTTCTCCTTCTCCTTCTCCTTCTCCTTCTCCTTCTCCTTCTCCTTCTCCTTCTCCTTCTCCTTCTCCTTCTCCTTCTCCTTCTCCTTCTCCTTCTCCTTCTCCTTCTCCTTCTCCTTCTCCTTCTCCTTCTCCTTCTCCTTCTCCTTCTCCTTCTCCTTCTCCTTCTCCTTCTCCTTCTCCTTCTCCTTCTCCTTCTCCTTCTCCTTCTCCTTCTCCTTCTCCTTCTCCTTCTCCTTCTCCTTCTCCTTCTCCTTCTCCTTCTCCTTCTCCTTCTCCTTCTCCTTCTCCTTCTCCTTCTCCTTCTCCTTCTCCTTCTCCTTCTCCTTCTCCTTCTCCTTCTCCTTCTCCTTCTCCTTCTCCTTCTCCTTCTCCTTCTCCTTCTCCTTCTCCTTCTCCTTCTCCTTCTCCTTCTCCTTCTCCTTCTCCTTCTCCTTCTCCTTCTCCTTCTCCTTCTCCTTCTCCTTCTCCTTCTCCTTCTCCTTCTCCTTCTCCTTCTCCTTCTCCTTCTCCTTCTCCTTCTCCTTCTCCTTCTCCTTCTCCTTCTCCTTCTCCTTCTCCTTCTCCTTCTCCTTCTCCTTCTCCTTCTCCTTCTCCTTCTCCTTCTCCTTCTCCTTCTCCTTCTCCTTCTCCTTCTCCTTCTCCTTCTCCTTCTCCTTCTCCTTCTCCTTCTCCTTCTCCTTCTCCTTCTCCTTCTCCTTCTCCTTCTCCTTCTCCTTCTCCTTCTCCTTCTCCTTCTCCTTCTCCTTCTCCTTCTCCTTCTCCTTCTCCTTCTCCTTCTCCTTCTCCTTCTCCTTCTCCTTCTCCTTCTCCTTCTCCTTCTCCTTCTCCTTCTCCTTCTCCTTCTCCTTCTGCTTCTGCTTCTCCTCCTCTTCCTCCTCGTCCTTCTCCTTCTCCTTCTCCTTTTCCTTCTCTTCCTCCTCCTTCTCCTCCTCCTCCTCCTCCTCCTTCTTCTCCTTCTCCTCCTCCTCCTTCTGGGGACATTTCTGGAAGGGTCCCGGGGCCCAGGGTTGACTTCAGCTCCTGGTGGCTCCTGATCTGAGGAGGTTTAGCCTCAAAAATGACCTCCAGGTTGGGCCTTTTTCTCCAACTTGGTCCTCCCAAGAAGGACTTTCCTCGTGGGCTCCATCATAAAATGAAATGAAACTCCAAAAATGAAGAATACAGGAGATGATTTTGGGCCTTTCCCTCATTTCTGGTGGGACCAGATCTGAAATGAGGAGAACTGATCCAAAAATGGGGTTTTATTGGGTGTTCCTGGTGGGTTCTGGGCTTCTTGGTGGGTTCTTAGTGGGATTGTAGTGGTTTCTTGGGTTCTTGGTGGGTTCTGGTGTGTTCTTAGTGGGTTTTGTTTCTGGTGGG